CTGTCATGGTGGCAGGTGTAATGAAATAGCAGTGGATTTATACATTTGGAGTGCCTCTTTAGTTACATTTTGAGCTAGGAAGGGATTTTATCTCGTCTGTAATTTAAGAACTATATAAATTACTTGGCATAGACAAAATTCAAATGACACCTTTACATCCAGGGTCAGATAGCACGACAGAGAGGTTTAATCAAACCATCCTTAATAACCTGTCGCTTGTGGTTTCTAGAAACCAACAGGACTAGAACAAAAAATTACCTCTGTTCCTACTTCCCTATTGCAGTGCTGTCCACAAGACTATTCCCATTCCAGATTTCCTCGGTTGTGACCTTCATCTTCCTTGTGATCTCCTGTTTGGTTGCCCTCCAAATGTGCCTTCAATCGCCTGAGGAGTATATTCAGTCACCAGGTACTGTTTGAAGTGATGAACAAATTTGTATGACAGTAGCCAACTTGGCGACGGAGAAGAGGAAGATCCAATAAAACATGTGAGCTACAGGACATCGGTTCAACGAAAGTGACAAGGTGTGGTTATGGAATATAATTCGACAGAAATAACCGTCTCCCGAACTACAGTCACATTGAGACAGTCCTTGACTGTGTAAGGACCATTCCAGGATAATCGCAAATTCTAAGCATTATAGTTAGCTAGTTTTCTTGCATTATGTAATTTGCATACACATTGAGTTTTTATCTTATGCATTACTGTATATGCCTTTTAAATTTTATAATTTTAAAGAAATTTTTATTTTGCAGAGAAAAATCTGAACATTAGTTGAATAGTTGAATTAAGCTCTTAAAAGCCTCTGTTTTATTTTCAGTTATGCTTCAAATTTCTTAAAAAAAAAAAAAAAAAAAAAAAAAAAAAAAAAAAAAAGAGAGAGAGAGAGAGAGAGAGAGTTTTATTATTATATGGAACTTTGAGAGATGCCCAGAAATAAGAATAATCATTTTTAAATTTTAAATAAAATACTAAACAATTTCAAACTTAAATCTACAGTACAAATCAAACTTCAAATCAGAAAATACATCTTTTCATAAAAATGATGCCTAAAATATAATAATAAACTCTGCCAAATTCAGTGCTAAAAAACATACAAGTACTTCTTTTTGTTGATTGTAATAATCATACACCATGAGGACAGGGAAAACTTTAGCAGCTCTTTAAAAATGCAGAAAGACAGAAGGGACATATTTCCTCCTTTGCCTTTGTAAAATGCATTAGTATTTAGTTAACGATGCTGGTTTTTAGACAGCATACAGAAGCAGAAAACTAACACAATAGCACCTTTTTATTTAATTTATGATACTAAATAAAATCGAGAATTGAATGCAAAGCTGTATATTTGAAGTAATTAATAAGGATTTTACAATAAGATTCAGATAAAAAATAATAATTCCTGTCCTCCTCTGAATGTTACTAAAAGAGGATCTTTTGGCTTGCTCCATGATCTTTAGTATTACTGTATCTTCTTCACATTTCCAGTAATGAGCCGTTTTAAAAAAGGAGGTTTGTTGATTTTTTCGGCAAAGAAAGACATGCCGCAAGTACAGTGATGATGTTCTGCATTGTTAATTAATGGGGTAACATTACACAGCAGCTTACACACCCAATCTTCTACAAATGATTATGTTCAGCACTTTTGGGAATATTTACTCTACCTGATAGTTGCTTAGTTGTATAACAGGAATTTTCAATGATAGCTTCTTTTAACCAATTTTTATTTTTATTTAAGCAATTTATATATATATATTTAAAGAGAATATGATGAAAATGAAAATCTCGATTCTCCATTCTTACCACAGCACTAAAAAAAAAAAAAAAAAAAAAAGAGTTGCAGTACATGCTATGATTATGCACCACCATTAGAAAAGACCATATTTTAATATTCGCTTCAATTAAAGTTCTTCCTTAACAGCAGTTAGAAGAAAATATGCTTTGATGTGAAAACCCACAGAACTTCTTAGAAGGGAGGGGGAGAATTAAGCATTTGCTTGTTGCCATGTGTGTAATGCATCAGAAATACTTACTATATCGATAAAAATATTCAATTTCTGAATACCAAATACTTTTTAAAGCTAACAATAACTTTTAAAGGCCATTTGAAAGCAAGATGCTCTGCTTTTAACCTTTTCCCGGGGGCTGGGACGTATGTGTCCCGAAGTAAGTATATAACAACTGGGGGCTCGGGACAGTTTGTCGTTGGTGGCAGGGGTAGGAATTCTAGCGCTTGAGGCTTGATTACTATTTCATGACACCCCATAGAGGGCGTTCTTTGGTGGAATTCCGCTAAAGGATTAGGGAAAATTGTCCGTGTTTTGAATTTGCATGTGTTGTTGGCAAATTTGGTATCTTCTAGGAAATATTTTGTTGAGAGGAGAAAATAAAAAGAATAATTTGTTACTTCGATTCACAGGGGTGTGCGTTTTCAGGTTTTTCCCTGTGTAAATACAGTTTGGAGGTCAAATATAAAAGAAACTTTATTTTCTTAAGTTCGTCTGCATAAATTCTTCACAAATTATTTTAAAAGCTTGAATGTAGTTAAAAATGCATAATTTTTTCCAGTTATTTCTGATTAAATTCTTTTTAATTTCAATTCGAATTTGAAATTGTCTTTGTTTCATTCTTTTCATAAGTATTTTTACCACTTTTTTCCATTTTTTAATGTGCATGTTAAGGCAGTGTAAATAAATATAAATGTTTCCGGTAATGAAAATTAATTTTAATGTTATTTCTAAATGGCATACATTCCATGTATGTCATTTAGAAATAATATTAAAATTAATTTTCACCAAATCCAATACACGTGAAATTTTGGTTTGTTATGTTCTAAATGTAAACTAGCAGCAGAGTGGATAATATTTCTTTATCTCTGATAATTTAACCTGTATTCAAATTCCGATGAATGGATTGACTGCATGAATTTTTCTTGTTCTCTCAAATATAATTAGGGTATATCAGCCAATTTTCAGGCGCTCCACGATAGCCCCTTTCGCTTAGGCAGATAACACTTTCTTTAATCTGACAAATAAATATAAAATTATATTCGAAATAAGAAAGCTAAACTTATGAGCATTTCCGTTTATGAATGATTTTGATGACAAAATTAATTTTAATTGTGCGACAAATGAAATACAAATTTTTACTAAAGCAATTATTATGGAATATTTTCTAATTCAAAAAAGTTTCAAAACTATTAATTTATTTGTTGTTATATGTTTATGTCTATAATGTCATATCTATATCAATTCGTTCAGAAATTAGTCACTGTTTAGGTTAATTGAATATGGAAAAGCACACGAAGGCTGCCTACCAAAAGAAAAAGATGCCTTCGTGGAGATCTTTTAGAGGAAATTGGCTCGTATTCATGTTTCACATGGGGAAAACAATGAAAACTGATCATGCAGCCAGCTCGATCGCCTGACCTTGAACTAACAGCATTCAGCGGCCTTAACCACTCAGTTGCTAGTAGTGTTCAGAAAGTAATTAATTTTATATGAAAATTGTGTTTTGGAGGGAATCAAATTTAAATATTGGAATACTAAGCACATATACAGGAATTCAGATGTGTACCACATTTTAGTTCCCTGAATTTAATACCCAGTGCAAATCTTCATTAATATTCATCAACTCAGTACGAATCATCATTACTCCCAAAGAAAGCAAGTGTAAATAGCTCGAGATCTGAAAATTTCGCATAACAGTTTGATACCTCAAAGGTGATTTTAGCAATCTTAAAATGTAGATCATAAAAAACTGAACAAATATTTCGCTATTCAACAAAGATGTTTACTTTCTGAAATATTAATGCGTTCCTGTGTATGCAATTTTGCATTCAAAGATAAAATGGAGTAGCAATATAAATCATTGAACAACTGTTCCCTTTCTATTCTCTAAGTGATAAAACTAAATTTTTGAATACATTAAAACTCACAAAGATTTTATTTTCTAAAGCTCCAGGGTTTTGCATCTGCATTTCTTTCTTGAACCAAAAACTAAGCAGTTAAAAGAATTAAACATCTTATATGCCTGATGTAAAGGCAGATCAACTCTGGGATCGCTATTTGCAATGTCACATGGAAGAAAAATAAATAAAAAATTTCTTGGCTCATGCATTGCAAATTTTTAGTGAAGTACAAACGCAATGACCAATTTCTATTTCTTCAGAAATGAATATTACCAGAGGTGTAAAAGTAATAACACTCATTTTCGAATCCGGAAATGCTTTTTAGTAAAGTTTTTAGTTTCTATGTAGTAAATAAATTCTATTTAATTTGCTCTTCAACATCAGAATAATAATGCTATTAACCCCTTAACTGCCGCGGGCGTATATATACGCCTTGCTCAGCCGATGTGTTAACTTTGCGAATAATTTTAGGTGTAGCAGCGCAAAGCAAATGATAGCAGTTTGGAAGGACGTATATATATGCCTGGGGCAGTTAACGCATCGGCTGAGCAAGGCGTATATATACGCCTGCGGCAGTTAAGGGGTTAAAGATGAAAATGTATATATTGTTTGCAGGAAATGTTTGAATATTTTAACTCACTGAATTTTCGATACGATGACAAGTGAATATATTTAACTCCAATTGCTTCGCTTATTTTTTAGTACATAATCTACGTGCAAGTTTAAAAAACTAGTTTAATCATAAAATGGAACACTTTTTAGAACAAAATTTTATAGTTGTAGCATACCTTTCATCTGAAGAAGATAAAATAATATATTTTTTTCTCTTGAGAAAACTGCATTCATCTATCTACCTGCAGTGTAAAAGTGATTAGCGCATCCACATTCTAACGCCTAGAACATTGGAACTGGATTGAAAGGAAATCATGACAGTTTCCTTGCCTGCCCGACAAAAGAGCACTAATCACCTAGTCGTCAAGACTCGATTCTATAATTTCCCCCCCTTTGCATAACCACTGAGCCAAGAGCCCCCAGTGAAGGTACACAACTGTTTTTCGAGCCCACACAAAAAGGTTAAAGAAGAATAAAAAATACAAATGTTTTATTAAAACCATGATGATGATTATCAGAAATGTACATAAAAGAATAAATATTTAGAAGATATTTCACACTTGCATATGACTATGACTTAAGAAATAGTCAGAGAAAGCCGATTTCTACATTTTGGGCACAAGGCTCGAGAAAGCTTCTGGCTCCTTTTGTATCGACCACATCTAAAATAAAAACAGCAGAGTTTTCATTATGAATATTAAAAAAATTGTGAATTTCATAATCAAACAAATTAAAAATAACTACTGGAATGAAGAAGAATTTTATAATTAAAAATTAATTTATATCCCAAATTATAAATTTGAGATATAAATCTGGAAAATTCTTTATTGCAAATATCAGTACAATTCTCTAGTCATACACAAATGCTCAAAACTTTTGGTCACAGGCTTTGTTAAATATTAATCCTAGACAATGAAACTATTCTTAAAGGAATATAAATAAGTTTATGATAATAGTTTCAATACCATTGTGAAGAAGCAAAAATGAACTCTAATTAATTATATGAGTCATCCATATATTCATAATGCTTAGTTAAAAAATTCTATAATTTTATAGTTATGATTTATCTAATAGCAATCATTAAAGTGAACAACTTTCATGTTAAAGTTTTTTTGCCAAATTTATTATAAAAGACTTAAATTTAAATCATTATTCAGTAAATCTCTTCTTGAATACTTTCAAGTTTATAACACAAAGCTATACAAATAGAACAAAACCACCTTAAGGCACCACCCATGGTTCCAGAGCATTTTGATCTTGCAGAGGTGCTTATGGAAGATAACATTACTATCAACACAATTTAATACTGATAGTATTTAATTAAATTTTCAGAAGCAATAGTTGATTTGCAAAACTGATTGTTATAAAAGATTATTTTGCATAGTGAATTCTTTTATCTTCATGGTTCCAAATGACTTTGGTCTTCTACAGAAGCAACTGTCTTGCGAAGTTGACATTCAGTACCAATGTTTATATTCTTAGAAATACTAATCACTTTCAAAAGGAGGTCACCATGACAGTATCTTAAGAAATATAATAATAAATAATAATAATAATAATAAAATAATAAATAAAACAACTGAGGCCACTTTTCTAAATGCTTTCTTTTAAGATATAATTTTTCATAAATAATATTTTAAAGATATTATCCTAATATATTGCTGAAATTATAAAACTAGTTGTTGATGTTTATTACTATCAGTATTACATGATAGAATACCAATTTATCAAAGTTACAAAAACAGAAAAATGTAGAAAAATATGATTTATAATTATAATAATAGTATAAGTACTGCTGTTTTACAATATTGTCATCCAACAAACAAAGCTCTCAGAGGTTTGTATCTTTCATATAACAAGTATTAAAAACACTCTTTGGTAAAATTAAGTTTTGAAGACTTACTGTATTAATTCAAATTTGGTTACATTTTTATTCAAATTCTTAAGACATAAAATTAGGATAAGCTTAAATTCAAAGTGAATATTGTAGCTCAGTGGCAAAAATGTGCTCTGGTGCAAGACAGAAGATAAGTATTCAAATTCTAAAAGTGATGTAAAAAGTGACAGGTGTTTCTGCTATTTAAAAAAGATTACGTGTAAATGAGGCAGCTTATTATATTCATACTAGTACCTATTTCAGTAAATAATTTTTTTCGTATTTTTCCTTACCTATTATTAAAAAAATATATATTTTCTATACTGACAGAGTCCTACTTTGATTAAATTTAAAGGCAGCTAATTTTTTATCATTTTTTTTCAATTTTAAAATCCTATCGCAGCTTAACTAGTAAGCAGCACAATAATAAGGGATATACGCCAAATACGCGAATCAAAGTTTCTCCCCAACTGTCTGGGTATACGCCACTTGCGCAAATCAAAATTTCTCTCCCCCCCCCCGTTGCCTACAAGGTTACAGTTTTACTTTTCGAAGCCAATTGTAGCTAAGAGGAAAATAAAAATAAAGAAATAGAATTACATATCACAAGAACAAGTAAAGAATATCTAACAAGCACATTCATGCAGTTCGTGGATTAAATAAGAAAAGGGATCTTCAATGAAATTTTGCGCAGTTCATATCCTGCCAGTAAAATTATAAAAAAAAAAAAAAAATTGAAAATAAAATAAAAAGTACTACACACATATGTTTGCAAAAAACTAAACAATAAATTTTATTTCATATGCCTAAATACAATCACCACCTATTTCTATTTTAATTGAAATAAGATAATGAAATTAATATTAGAAACATATAATTCAATTAATAACAAGCTAATTAACAGCAATATTAAGCTTAATTTCATTCAGTCTGAAACAAACAATCGATCAAGAGCTCCGCATAACTGAAGTTTTATTGCTATTTTACGTAGATCTGCATATAAAATAAAAGTTGCACTTATGAAACAAGTGAATAATGTACTGTTAGTTAACAGGAATTAAAATACAGTATACCATATTCCTAATTTATGTATTAAAATACATACATAAATTACAAATATGGTTAAAAATACGACTACTTGTCAGAAGGTATGCATATTTGTCATAGCTAGAGAAACTGAATGATTATAGAAAACTCATAAAGTTAAATGCTACAGTGGGAAAGGAAAATTTTGGAACATGTTAAGAAAATTAGATGGAGAAATAATCCACAATTTATTGATATTCATATAAACTCTATGCTTTTGGGAAAAGTTACATATAATTTGTATCACAGAGGTATCAATCACAGAAACCGACTTAATTCCTTTACTTATTTTTTCTTATTAAAGGGATTTGTAAAAAGATATGCTAAGGTGAAAATTTTTGCAATATTTTTAAAGAATAAATTAAAAAACTATTTTTGGTTCATGAATTGAAAATTTTTACGATACATTTTTACACAGTAAATAAGTACAAAAAAAGAAAGAGCTGGGAGATTTCTGGGATTAGAAATTCGGGTCGAACTACCAATGTTTAGTGACTTTTCTGCTTGATCATAAGACCTTTTGAAAATTAGGGATGAACAATATATTAAAGAAAATAGAAGATACAGCACATGTAAGAACAAAGTGGGCTGTGAACTAGAGATTTAATGTTTGGGAGTGAGTTAAACTTATCTGTATGCCATTATGAATATTAGGAATGTAACATTAAAAGATCAGTGAAGAAGGCAATGGCAATCTAAGTCATTGTAATCTAAATGTTAACATATCAAATATGCTATTAATTTCAATACTGCTGAAAAAAAATGAATGATTCTATTATAAATCACATGAACTTGTTGATTATAAATTACAACAGTTAAGAAATATTATTAGCATGATTTAGCGACCATCTTTGTTAACAAATAATTTCAAATAGTAAATTTTACAAATAATTCAGCCTACAAACTAGGTTAGAAAATAAGCAGCATGCTGAAGATTAAGCTTTACTAAGGTGTTAGAAATATCTTCTCTTAACTAAAGTTATGATGAAAGAATTTATAAAAATTATCATTTAAATATAAATTTGCATAAATAGAATACAAAATATATAAATTCCACATACATGAAAATTTGAATACAATGCAACAATATGTGAAAAAAGAATGGATTAAAAGGGAAATGAAAATCCCAAGGAAGAATACAAGAGAGTTAAAATTTTTCTGCAATTATGAAAATTCTGCGATGCTAATTATTAATTTATTAATTAAATGTGAATTAGAATTATTAATGTATGCCAAAATTACTCGTACTTCAGGTAGGAGTTAGAGTAACTGGGAAAAACAGATTCAATGCTTCCAATATATTGGACTTTGTAGGAAAGTAAATAATCTTAAAAATAACTTCAATGGTAAAATGAAAAGCTTAACAAGGAAAATAGTGCAATAATATTAGGTGAATTTAGAACCACTTAAGAAATTCAATTTTTAGATTATATAAAGAGAATTTTTAATTAAATTAAACCTAAAATGGTTAAATTTGAAAGTTAAAAATTCTGATCTAAGAAGATTGATGTTATATTATAGAAGAAAACTTATTTAAGGTGGGCTGACAAATCCAATATTTGATAGGTTGATTTGTATGTCATTAATTAATCAGTTTTATTATTCAAAATATAAATATATATCAGCAGCTAAAATCTACAACTTGGAAAGTTTTTAATTCTTATAGAGAATAAAAAAAGATCTAGCTCATTATTCTTTTAAGCATCATAAAACTTTAAAATAAGTGTAAAAGAAATTCCTTTTTACTTTAGCACATGCCAGACTTTAAATTATTATTTATTTTGTATGCAAAATTTTTACAATATCTGATAAATGAAAAAAGATGCTTGTAGTCTCAATAAAATGTCCCATTAATAGTGAAAAAGGAGTTTTTGTAGCACACATGTTCTTGGGAAAAGTTCTTAGAAAGAGAGGACAGGAAAACGTTGCACAGTTCGTGGATTAGATAAGAAGGGGGAGTCTTCTATTAAATTTCGTGCAGTTCGTATCCTACCATAATAAGAAACCCATTTGCTAACTATCACAGCAACCATTACCCCTGATGGGAAAGCTATAACTATTTCCAAATGGGGGGAAGAAAAAACAAAAAAAAAAAAAAAAAAAAAAAAAAAAAAAAAAAAAAAAAAAACAAAAAAAAAAAAAAAAAAAAAAAAAAAAAAAAAAAAAAAAAAAAAAAAAAAAAAAAAACAAAAAAAAAAAAAAAAAAAAAAAAAAAACTTAAAAATATTATGAATTTAAAACATACAGCAACTTTATCAGTTTTCATAACACATCATTCTTATTTAACTCTATAGTCGTTTTCTTTTATAATATAAAATAAACCAACTTGCCACAGAATACACCCCCTCCAAAAAATGCTTCTTTTTAGAAGAAAGGTTGCCCAAGTTTGAACTGAAAAGTAGCTTGGAAATAGTAAAACTAATTCCATACATTCAAAATGCATAGTACCAGTTAAAATTAACTGCTAAATTTCTATAGATAACCCAGAAAAAGTTATTAAATATGATATTTTGACTACTAAAGGCAAATTATTTTTTCACAGCATTTTGAAATTTAAAAAATTTTACAAGAGTACTTTTATTGTCAAACAGTTATCATTTGCACTTTTTTGGCCTAATTAATTGAAAAAATGTATACATATATGAAACTAAGTTCTTGCACCGATTGTTGTAAAAGTCTAAGAAAATACTGCCTGCAAAT